CTCCCTTCGATTGAAATAATTTGGATGTCCTAGGGTTGATCTACCCAAGGTTGTGAGAGAAGAGACTTGCTTCACAGCCTTGAGACGTTTTCTGTTTTTAACTCCTGCAAGGATAGTTTGCTCTCCGAGAGCACTCCCAGCTACTGTTAGCATTTATGGAAGACAATGAGAGGGAAATTTCCCGTCACCCTCCTGCCTCTCTTGTCCTCACATACACAAGGACCAGGGAGGAGGCCTTTAAAGCAACAGGCAGGGGGTGTGGGTACTGCCGGGCCTGTGAATGGTCAACTCACTTCAAATGAACATTTTTCCATTTGGTTTCTAGGTCCACTCTCTCTTTTTTCCTATTTTCAGCTTTCGGTCTCCTTTATGATTAATGGATAGGACAGAAAGCTTTTTATTCTCTCTTTGGGAATTCTGTTTATCATAAACAGAGGTTTGTGAAAAGAAAAAGAAAATCAAGCCGCTGAGCTCTGTACAATCAAAGCTCTGGAAGAATATGTAAGCAGTGGTCAGGCAGGTGGGCAGCTTGTGTGTGTATGTGTGGGGACAACAGTGGCCTGCTGAGGAGCTCAGCGGGTTGCTGGGACAGAAGGCTTCAGATGGTAGATCTTCTGTTTGCCTCCAGCTCAACACTGCCTGGAGTGCCTGCCTGGGATCCCTCTCTAAGTTAACTCACCAGCAGACTGAGTCAGGAGGATATCACCCAGTATCTATGTGGCTTTTTCTTAGAAATAACTGGGGTGGGGCTCTAGGATGGTGGGTTATTGCAAATGTATTGAGAGACTAGGGGTAGACTAAAGTCAGAATGAAAGGGAAATTTGGAGAGGAAACAGATGATGGAGAGAAAGAAGGAAGAAAGGAAAGGAAGGATGAAGGAAGGAAGTAGGAAGGAGGGAGGGAAGGAGAAACAGTGTTGTGCTTTCTAGAACTTGCTACTCAAGGTGAAGCCCTGTAGCCCTGGTGTCTGCTAGGAGCTAGTACAAGTGCAAGACCTCAAGTGGCAACCTGATCAACTAAAGAGGAGTGTGCGCAGGCCAGGATGAGCAGCTCCGATGTAGGTCATCACCTGGGAAGCGAAAACACTTACCTACTTCCTGTCCACAGTGCCTCTGGGCTAGCTGGTCTGGACAAGAGCATGGGCCTCAGGGCTGTTCCAAGCTCCTCCAATGGTTCCAGGCATGCAGAGCTCAGAGTACCCCCCGAAGTACAAAGCTGGTTCTTACCTCCTTTCGCTCCCTTCCTCTCCTCTTTGTTTTCCTCTCCTTCTTTCTTTCCTCTCTGTTTCCATTTAGTGGTTGACTTAGTCTCTCTTCTCCAGAAAAATGATGACAGGACACCATCTCAGGGCTCCAATCTGAATTATTTCTAGAAAAATAATTCAGTGTTTAGGCCAACAGTACCAGCTCCCCCCTCCCCGGGATATTTATAAAATGCAGGCTCTTGGGCCCCACTTAGGCCTAAGAAAGGGAAGCTCAGGAGTTGGAGACCAACAGCCATGTTATAGCAAGCTCTCTGGGGGAGCTGACCAAGTTTGAGAATCACCTCAATAGAAGGATCCTGAACAAGGAAGCAAGCTGCAAACACATTCAGTTCTTCCACAGAGCTTCCAGGACCTCCAGAAATAGTCACTACCTGCAAATCAGACTTTCCAAATGGCATTCTGGGTTCTGCATGAATTTCTCCAGCAAGCCTTTCTAAACTTATCATGTGCTGCTAAATGATTAGATTATTAACTTGATTGGCTCAGAAGCACCAGATGGAAAACAGCTAGAGATAGCTTTTTAAGACTTTAAAAACATTATTATACTGGATTATACAATAACATTCATATGCAAATGTATAGTGCACTTTGGGGATATTCTCCCCACACTTCAGCATCCTCTCTTTCTAAGGCCCTCCCCTCCCTTTGTCCCCCCTCCCCCAGGAGTTCATTTCCACTTTCATATCACCTGTACAGAGATGAGTTTACATATCTATAAAGTCCCGGACCTGTAAGTGAGAGAAAACACGTAATATTGTCTTTCTGAGACTGACCTAGTACAATTATCTCCAGTATTCATTTTTCTGCCAATGATGTAACGCCATTCTTTCTGGCTGACAAAAGCTTCATTGTATGTATCAAATTCATTTTTCTTGTCCATTTCTCTATTGTTGGACACCGGGTTGGTTCCAAAACTTAGTATTGTGAGTAGTGATGCTTGAACATCAGTGTGCAAGTGTACAGCTAGGCCATTTTGTGGGTCTGCCTTTAATTCATTTTGATTGTTTTCAATTAAAAATTTATACATTGGGTGGAGGGCAGGCATGGGGTCTCAATATGTAGCTCTGGCTGGCTTGGAACTTGCTATGTAGACCAAGCTGGCTTCAAATTCACAGAAATTCTTCTGCCTCTGGCTCCCAAGTGCTGAGATTAAAGGCCTGTGGCACCACATCTAGCTTTTTAAATTGAAACAGAACCACATGACTTCCCCCTTTAATTCCCCCCTCCAGCCCCTCCTGTGCCCCCATCTCAAATTAGCAGATTTACTTTCTTTCATTATTATTGTTCTTTATATATTTATATGTATGCACAGATATATAAATGTGGCCTACTGAGTCTGTTTTTTGTTTGTGTGTATAAGGTGCATGGCTGACTACTTTGTATTAGATAACCAATGGCGTGGTGGGGTGGTCCTTTTTTTTCTTTGAAATAGAGGTAGTTTAAAAAATTCCAAGTGATGACTTAGGTCAGAACTTTTTATAGATTCTTTAGCAAATTCATTTTCAAACAGGTCTGGGGAAAGACCAGAGATGACACAGTTTTAGTAAGCTCCCAAAAGGTGTCCCTCTGAGTAGCAGGTCTCTGGAGTCCCTCCAGCTGTAATACTTCCAAACCTGTGAGTTTAGTTAAATTCACTGTCTCTATGAATATGGCCATGTGTGTGCTAGACTTTGCTTGCCTGTCTCTCTTCCCATTTTCCCCTGCCAGAACCTGGGCATTCTTCAAGGCCAGATTTGATGCAACCTCCTCCACTTTACTGTCGCCAAGACAGAGTATGCCTCTGTTTCCACGATTTCTTATGTCGCTTCCCCTCTGGATTCACTTTCTTGGTATCTGTGAGTCATTTGGTCACTGCTCTGGCTCTCAGCTGTATTTGCTCTTCCTTGAGACAGGGCGAGCATCCCATTCTTTCTTAGCCACCCCCTGCCTCCTCACATCTAACACAACCCTTGGTACACAAAAGTAGCACATAAATATTGATCGCATTGAGTTGAATGGGCTTGAGGCTCAGAGAGATCTGGACTGTGAGATAGGTCGTGACTGGTTTTTCCGAGAACAGTAAGCAACTACAGCATAACAAACCCGACAACAACAGCACGCAAACCACAAGCAGGACAGGATGACTGTCCCAACGATCTGATGACAAGTAAGTCCAAGTCACACAGCTGAAACCCATACAGAGAAATGATGTGAAATTTTGTGCTGTCTGGCGCCCGTTGGCCATGACATCATTATTTGTGGGTTGAAGATTGGTAGAAACATTTCCAGACAAAAGGTCTAAAATGTCATTTTTTTAACCGATATACTTTATGAATAATCTTTGTTCAAGTTTAACTTTGTCAGTTTCCTACACCCATTATAAACATTATTCATAATCTTCTTGACCATAGAAAGCAGGTGTTTTTATTTCCTTTTTCCTGGCTAAGCACAGTCTCCACGAGGTTAAAGAACTTATTTAAGGGACTCTGGCTGGATGAGGGGCAAGAAAAGGATCTACACTCAGACCATGCCAAGGCCTGACCACCACTTGGCTGATGTGGCCTCATCACCACATGAACAAGCAGATATAGTAGCTGGACGATTTAAAGAGGTTTACACTTCTGTGTAGGATATGCCCGCGTTTCTCCTTTCTAAGGAATATACTGTTACCTACTTACCTCTAGATGATGACAGAACCTCATGGGGACTGTTAACATGTGGCCTTTTGATGTGGAAGTGAGAGTGGAGAGGAAGGAGGAAGAGGAGGATGTGGAAGAACCAAGCCTGTGCTAAGTGTGCTCTGTGTGTTTGCTGTTCCTTTGCAGCAGTGACATACAGCACAAGCATGGACCACTTGCCCATGGTAAAGAGCCATGGAGGTCCAAGGTCGGACACAGGTTCTTCAGTCAATGAGTGAAGAAATCTGTCAACCCTGCATTCACTCTCTTTCTCCTTGGCCATCAGCATGCTGACCTCCCCTGCTTCTTGATTCCCTCAGGCTCTAGACCTTTGTTTTTCTGGAACATCTCTCTAGAAAACCTAGGTCTTTTTGCCTCTCGGTCTCCACATTTGAATATGACCTCTGTTCCCATTCTTCCACCATTATTCAGAACTGTCAGTTTGTCACTATGGCAGACAGTAATTTTATATTAATGGGTGAGTAACTGGTAGACATTCCCCATCAGAGAAATGTACCTGAAAAAATTGATGATTAAATGAAAAATAAATGATGATTAAATGAATTTTCATTGTTGTAGAATTATTTCAAAAGATGGCCCATATGTATATACATGAAATGAGAGTTGATTTTCTTTCCTTCTTATCTGGTCCTTGTTTTTTCAGCCAAGAAGATTAATGACCATTGCTTCTGTAAGACAGGAGAATCTTGGTCTGATCCAGTACTTAAAACTATACTTTGGTTCTGATTTTCTCTGGCTCATCTAACAATGAAACTAAAAATGAAAACTGAGTCCAGAGAGGCTGGGATCAAAGTCAACATGTTATAAGAACAAAGAATCTGGAAACAGAACCAGAAATGCTTAGGTCTAACATGGAGAGTAGAACTCTGTGCCACAAAGACAGGTTGGAATGGAACGATGGAGTCAACAATACCACGCAAAGGAGTTGTCATGGAAACACTCATTGGAGAGCAGGCGATTGCATTTTGGAAACAGATTAAAGCAAGTCTTGATGGTGGGAAAGAGAGAGAGAGAGAGAGAGAGAGAGAGAGAGAGAGAGAGAGAGAGAGAGAGAGGAGGTCAGACACTGAAGACAGGGTGGAGTTACACAGCCATTGTGGCAACGAGAGAACACATCATTGTTATAAGACAGAACATGACAGGTCTGAGGGCCGATCTGTCCAGCCAGGATGCCTCGGAGTAAATGTGTTAGGATTTGCCTTTTGTGGCATCATAGCACTCATGACTCAGCCTGCAGAACAATGTGACAGGTGGGTGGACTCTCTTAAAAAATACTTCCAAGAAGAATAGGTAGTATGTTCATATCTTGCTTTTAGCAGAAATTGTTTCCACTTAAATATTAAGAGGAGAGACCAGTAAAATAAAAATCGCTGCTGTAATGTTTTGATAGGATTTCTGTGGTCCATTTTGAATGTGGACATAAGAGCTGTCCAAGCTTCATAACGATTGATTTCCCTGCTTCCTGCCTGAAACAGACTCTGGCATTAAATGGTTATGTGGACTTAGAACATTGGCATGTATGATGCACATGGATTGGTTTTCCATAAATTACCTCTTAAAGAAGTGTCTGTAGCCCTAGATGTACACATGTGGTTATGAAATTTTTCCAGAGAGGAAAAGCAGAGAGTGAGCCAGGGAAAAGAAAGGACTCTTTCAGCATTACAGAGGAGCTCTGAGGGGGATGTGAAACAGAGCCTAGGTGTGTGAGGGCCAGATCCCCTGAAACACAGAGCAAGAGCATCAGCAGGGCAGTAAATACTCTCAGAAATACTGTGAGTGAGGAGAGAGCAAAACAAATGGCCACAATTCAGTATGTCACAAAGGGCAGGTAATGTCAGGAATCCTAAGGTCTGCCATTGATTGGTTTTGACTAGTGTGGAGCTTCTGTGTTAAATAATGTAGCATCTAAGTTTTGTGACCCTGGTGATAACTGGCTGGCTACAAGGATTTGGGGTGAAATGATAGAAGAGAAAAATGATTCAAGGAGTTGAAACAGCCTTGGCTTAATGCTCTAACCATGGCAAGCTCAGCTAGAGGGAGAGGCATGTACAGGGATGTCAAGCTCAGACTAGAAGTCAAAGGAAGAGGTTAACAGTGAGGAGGCTTTGAGACTGGATCCAGGGTGTGGTATTAGACTTAGCTCAGGCTTTGTCACCTGAAAATATGGAATAATAATTTAGTGATTAACGTTGTTTGGAACCAAAAATAAGCAAAGAACTAGCAGTTTCCAGGCAGTAGTGAGTATCAAAGTTGGGTAATAACAGCCTTTTTCTTCCAGACAGTCTGTCTAATTCACAGCACAACTTCTGAGGGCAGAGTGATCAAAGGCTGAGATTTGAGTTCCAGTCAATGACAGGCCAGTAAAACTTAAGAAAGCCCCCCTCTCCCTGGCCCTCATCTCAGCCAAGTGGCTGGGATTCACCACTAGGATTTAATTCTTGCAAAAGATTCAAAATCCAACTCAGGAACAGAAGCAGACACAGAATCCTACAGACCAACAGAGGGACAAATGGACTGTATCTCAGTCACTTGAAAGGAGCTTGGTTTAAGCTCATTTCCTAGTACCATGCACCTGGCTTGGTGAAAGAGAAAGGAATTCAAATATTTCCAGCAGAAATTATTGAGTGCAAGGATTTCAAGACTTTCGAATCTTTGGGGGCATGCATTAGTCGGTTTGCCCGGCTGACCATGATACCTGACTGAAAGCACTTGAGTGAAGATTGGGCTCACGTTTCGGAGGATTTCAGTCCATCATGACATGGAAAGCACAGAGGAGCAGTTCAGATCATGGTAGCCAAAGCTGCAGTACCTTGGCAGGCCAGACTGCAGATGGTGAGTTAGGAGCTAGGGTGATGGTCCAAGGCTAGCTCCTAGTGACCTATGTCTACAGGCTAAGCCCCCAGCTCCAGAAAGTTCCACAGCCTCTCTGAACAGATCCACCTGCTGGGAAAGAAGTATTTAGACCATGAACCTGGGGGAGACATTTCAGATTGCAGCCAGAACAGAAGGTCTGGCAACAGGGGTTTGTGAGAACTACGTTTTTAATTTAGGACATCTTACAAATATGACTTGTCAGTGTATAAAATTTACAATAATAAAATTTAACAAAGGAATTTAAGAAATCAGAAGAGGAATTGCAGGACAGTAATTATCTGTGTGCTTTGCTGCAGCAGTGTGGGGGCCAGTCTGCTAGAGTCCTGGAAGGTCTGCAGCAGCTTGTACCCTGCAGCTTCGGGAACAATGGGCCGCCTGTCTCCTCTTCTACCTCCAATTCTCCCTTGAGGTTTTCCATTGGCAGACTCTAAGCAGGAATGCTGGCAGGATTTCTGGGAAATTTAGTTTCCAGATGTTGTGAGTCAGAAAGGACACTGAAGGGGGAAAGAGCGACCATGGCCACAGGGCCTAAGTGAAAGACATCAATTATTAGGGTGATTTCAGGGGAGGTAGGATTCTAGAATGTGGGTCTGGGTGGGATGGGAGCTCAATGAGGCAGAGTCTGGGTGGAAAGACTGTGGGGAAGCCGGTCTAGAGAGTCTGTGGCTGTAGCAAATATAATGGCAACACCCCTGTCTGTCTGTAGCAGATATAATGGCAACTCTCCTGTAGATGGAGGGACCATGAGATGAGCCAGGCAGGGTGACAGGTAGTTGAAATACTACAATTTCTGAGCATGACAGGATGCTCTTTGTTTTCAAACTTTCAGTAAGGCATACATAGAAAATGGAAGTACCCTTGACTGGGATCAAAGACAACCAGAACAAAGAACTTACAGGAATCTGTCCCCACTTTGTTGACAGTTTGAAAGTGTTCTGTGAATCAAACATTCTTCCAACCAGACATAAATGAAAATAGTTAGAATTTGGGCAATGGTGTTGGAACTGCAAATTAAAAGGTGGAAATCTGGAAGGGAGTCAGTGGAACTTGACAGTGATATGAACAGTAGGCAGAAGGTGAGGGGAACTGGGATTCCAAAACCTGTGGCATGGGTGACCTTGTGAACTGACATCATGAATTGAGAGATGGACATAATAAAGATGGAGTTTGTGCAGCTCTGTTTTGGATGCATTTGGTGTTAGGCTATAACGACAGACCATCAATCTGAGAGTGACCAAGATGAAGGCGAGAAGGTGAGGGAGGCAACCTCCATTTCTGATGAGCCTACAAGAGGCCTTTACCTGTAAAGGGAAGTAGTAACACTCTACACATGTGAGTTTGGAGCCACTGAAAAGGACAATATCTATCAAATTTTTTTTTCCAGTCTTTAGTTGGAAGTTTTCCTGTATTCCGCCTGGTCCTGCAGTTGCTCAGACCCAAATAAACACATTAAGGCTTATATTATTTTCAAACTATATGACCTAATGCCTCAGGCTTCTTGCTAGCTAGCTCTTACATCTTAAATTAACCCATTTCTATAAATCTATACTTTGCCACATGGCTTGTGGCTTACTGGTACTTTACATCTTGTTTCTTATGGCGGCAGCTAGCCATGTCTCTCTGCTCTGTCTTTCTCCTTCCTCTCTCTCTAGTTGGAATGTCTCGCCTAACCCTATTCTGTCTCACCATTGGCCAAACAGCTTTATTTATCAACCAATTGGAGAAACACACATTCACAGCATACAGAATGACATTCCACAGCACTTCCCCTTTTCTGTCTAATCAAAAAGAAAGGTTTTAACTTTAACATAGTAAAATTACATATAGCAAAACAGTTATCAATCAAGAATTACAGTTACAATATCTAGTCTATTTGTATTTGGCAAAATCAAAGAAAATATTCTATCATATATCTTATATTTGTAAGTCTAAATTTTCATATCTAATTTATCTTTTATCATTATCAAAGAAAATTATAAATATCTAGTCTTCAGCTACATCAAAGACCTCAGAAGGATAAAACTTGACTATCCAGCAGGACCGGACATGTCTCATTGTCCAGAAAGTCAAAGTTCTTAAAACATTTTAAATGCCATATTCTGTAGGTATTTGAAGTGTTTGAAGATTACCTACCTAAGTAAATAGGAAGAGCATTGTAAGCAACTTCCAAAAATCTAGAATGACAGAGACAGCTGGCTGCCTGGACAGTCACCCAAAGTTCTTCTGCAATTTTGGGGCATCCATCTTCAGCCTACAGGCCTAGAGTCTCTCAATCACTTCTCTCTGTGTCCTATAGAATGTCTGGCAGTTTCTTCTGCGAAGCAAGAACCTAAAGAGCCATCTTGCCTTGCAAAGTTCAGTGGTCACCCTCTTATGGGTCCTGCATATCCACTTTATACAACATACTGTCAATCAGTCAACACAAAGGCACTTTTTTGCCCAGTGGCTAACTTTTGTCACCAAGAAATCAAACTCCATAATGAGTTTATTTAATGCCCATCATTCTCCTTGAAGAAATCAGAGCTGCCAGGACCAGACGTGTCTCATTGTCCAGAAAGTCAAAGTTCTTAAAACATTTTAAATGCCATATTCTGTAGGTCTTTGAAGTGTTTTAAGATTACCTACCTAATTGAATTATATCTATGTATATCTAGAAAACTTAACTAACATAACTATAAGTTTGACTATCCAGCAGTGTGCAGCCCAAAAACCTTTTCTTTCTTTCCTTTTTTTCCCCTGTACTAACAAAAGCTACATCCACCATGCACCATGCTGCATGGCTTGCAGACACCACTGTGTACAGTGGCAGCACTCAAGCCCATATGCTGTGAACCCGCCATACTGTAGCTCAAGTCTGCATGCCACACTGTCTATATCCTGACCCACATGAGACATGAAGTAGAAAGCTGTTTGGGGCTATGTTATTGTATGTTTGGAAGCCCTTTTTAAACTCTTTTAGGCCTTATGGAAATTCGAGAGTCCCATGTTGGTATGCCAAATGTAGTCAGAAGGTTCTCTGGTTCTGCCAGGCCCCTGCAGTCCCGTGGCCCATGTATAAAATAATCACTAAGAAGCTTATATTAATTATAACTGCATGGCCATTAGCTCAGGCTTATTACTGACTAGCTCTTACACTTAAATTAACCCATAATTCTTATCTATGTTTAGCCACATGACTTGGTACCTTTCCTCAGTTCTGCCTTGCCATCTTGCTTCCTCTGTGTCTGGCTGGACATAGACTCCTGACTCCTCCCTTCCTCTTCCCAGAATTCTCCTTGTCTGCTCATCCCACCTATACTTCCTGCCTGGCTACTGGCCAATCAGCATTTTATTTATCAACCAATCAGAACAACACACATTCACAGCATGCAGAACAACATTCCACAGCACCAGTCTTACTCCTGAGTGGAGTTTGATGCCTGAAATCCAACACTTAGCACTTCAAACTGCTAGCTTTAAGTTGAAGCCCTTTAAGCTTTTGTGCTACCCATCTATCGCAGTATGAAACAATTACTTTGTCACACTGCCCCTGAAGACAGTCAAAACATTTATACATACCAGAGTTCCTATGTACCCAGAGTTCTAAGCATGCCTGTTAGGTGATGTTTCCTGCACAGATGTCAGTATCAACTCAAACAGGGCATCAGTAACAAACCACAACAATGATTCTACTCAGTTCCGGTTTGATGAACCAACGAATTTGTTGGGGTTACACACAGAAGCACAGGCAAGGGGTTGCTAGGTTAGAACAGAAGCATGGGCAAGTGGTTGCCCGCAAAAACATGGGTGGCTTAAAGGTGACTATACCACCAAAATATTAGTGTGAGTGATGCCTCAGCAAAGCTGCATCCCTGGGACTCAAGGCAGCTCCACCAAAGAGTCTCCTCTTCCACAGCAATTACTTATTGCTTATACAACCTGGACCTGTTAACTTCAGCTGTCAGCTTAACACAGCCCAGAGTGGTCTTTCTGAAGGAGGGAGGCTCAGTTGGGGAACTGGACAGATCTGATTGGCCTGTGGCAATATCTGAGAAATTATCTTTGTTGTGGATTGTTGTCAGAGGGCACAGTCCCCGGTGGCAGTACCATTCCTTGGAGGTAGTCCTGGGATAGATAAGAAAGCAAAGTCAGCATGCAGTGATCCTCCACGGTTTGTGCTCTAGGTTCCTGCCTGAAGTCCCTGCACTGGCTTCCCTCCCTCAGTGATGAACTTCTACCTGGAAGTATCAGCTGAAGGAAACACTTCCCTCCTCGGAGTTGTTTTTGGTCATGGCATTTATCACAGTAACATAAAGGAAACTAGATCAGGGACCATGTCTAGTAAGTCTTGTCACTTGCTGAGCTTCCTGGCCTGCTAAGTGTCATGAGTTTGTTGAGCCTTGTAAGTTTTGTTAGCTTCTGGGATCTCATGAGCATCTGTCCTCTGTTCTCTCTCCAGGAGGGCATGCTTCAGTTCTAAGGAAATAGCCACACAATGGTGCCCATGAGGGATCAGAGCTAGAAGAATCTTTGGGTCCTACGCAAAGAAATGATGGTCAGAGAGACACAAGGTATTCATGAATCTGGAGAAACTTGCTGTGACTAAGTCTTCTGTCTTCATAGGCTCCTCGTGCTTGATCCTTTTTCTTTTATTTCTTTAACAGCTTGGTTGTGGAAACCTCAGGAAATTCTAAGCCTATTTCTTCCATCAAAATGAAAGGAACTCATTGATGAAATCGTGAGTCCATTAAGATTGAGTGGTACATCTCCCTTAAGCCATGATTTGCATCATAAAACAGATTAAAATGAAAAATGGAAGCACTCTCTTGGAGAGGAAATGTACAGAAGAATCTTTGAAGGCTCTCTGAATGAAGACGGAATAACACTCCACCAAGCACCGAGAAAACAAGGGACAGAGAAAGGTACTGACTGAGCAAAGCAAGACTGAAGCCCTCAGTCAGATAAGTGATGTGACTCAGAGCTCAGTGTGGGGCAGACAGCTGAAGCCAGAGAACATTCAGAGCCGTAGGTAAACACTTACATTAAGTATCCTGATGGAGCAAGGGCTTCCACTGTAGTGTGGCTGCAGTGGCCTGCGCTGAAGTACATATGGGTCATTATCTCTACATTAATGGGATTTGGAGAACTACCCTCTCACCTCGCTAAAAGCCTGGGCTTACATGTGGCTCTGAGTGTATGAAAATATTGTTCATCTCAACCTTTCTCAAAAAGTCTGAGAAAACAGTCCTGTGACGAGAACTATACTGTATAGATCTCAAGAATCTAGATTGCTAATTCTGAATTAGCAATGCATGAAGTTCTCCAGAGTTCTGGGAGAGTGTTGGGGAAACATCTCTTGCTTATCAGGTTGCTTTTGTTTCTTGTACATTATTTACTTAGACAAGCATAAAGACCTTTGGCCAAAAAGAAAGACTGGCTTAAAGGACTGGAATGTCTGGGGGAATTAGCTGTTTGATGGAAACATGACAGATAAATGAGCAAGAGAATGATTGACAGTCAAATTCCCCTGGAGGAATCACTGCACTGGTGTATGAGAGGCAGTTTGTCCCAGCTCACAGGAACCTGTGGTACCAACTCTTCAAAATTCCCCATTCAATGACTTCATAGGAGGGAGTGTTTACACTGTCAAATCTGGCAGCTGTCCCAAATCGGGGCTTTTCTTTTTACTGTTCTCAGCTTGTTGCACCCACCACTAGAAAGTATATTATTAAATATTTATCGGTATTCTCCTGGAGTTTAATCGAAAGATAATTTGTCCAGCAAAGCAGCCACAGCCCTCTGAAGCTCCAACTGATGGTTCTCTGAGCACAGGAATTAGTCAAATCAGTGACTATGGGGAACTCTGTGGAATTCGGAAAAAGGGAAAAAATTCTTGGAAAACATACCTGTGTGATGTACTCACCAGTGAGCTACCCGAGAGTCAATATTCATAGAGCTTCATGGTCAGTGGCACTCAGAAGTGGTATGGGACCTTTAGGAACATGACCACATGATAGAAAGTACTTAGACATGATGTGGGTCTTGTTCTCATTTGACCAGGGACATCAGATAAAGGATGAGATCCAGAAAGCTGTGTCTCAGAAGGACTAATTTACAGGGCATTTTGATAGTTAACTAGTTAAGCTCTACTGCCAGTAGAGCTCAGACAAAAGACACTTGAGCTCTAGGATGCACTGTGAGCACTTGCACTGAGGGTCTCTGAACCCCATGTGGGGTAGCAGTGATGTGGCAGAAATTCCTTCTCAGACGTGCTGAATGGACATGTTCCAGCTGTGATGTCTGAGGCTGTTTCTGAGAAACACAAAGATTGGAAGTCTCATCTGCCTACCTTCTAGCTTCCAGGATTCTTCTGAAAAGACATATTGTTAATAACAATGTGACCTTTGACTGGAAGGTAGGAGAGAAGAAGCTGTGAGACACAGATTAAGGAGTATAAATCAGTATACACTATGGATACCACTATGGAGGCTTTTCAACAAACTAAAAATAGAACTACCATGTGACCCAACTACTCCACATCTAGGTTATTTGCCTTAAGGACTGTAAGTCAACATACCACAAATATATTTGCATATCCCTGTATACTATTGTGTTGTTCAGAATAGCCAAGTGCTGGAAGCATGCTTGGCATCCATCCGCAGATGAGCAGATTAAAATTGTGGCATATGTACATGATGAAGCCTTAGTCACGATATACAACAGAATTATGTCATCTGTTGGAAAGTGTATGCAACTGGAGATTGCTGTCTGAAGTGAAATAAGTCAGGGAGACAAATGTCACGTTGTTACTCATTTGCAAATCCCTGAATACACATAAATACAAAAAGCCATATATATGAAAGCAAAGGAAGAGCTGGAGAAGGAAGGGCATGAGTAGAATGGGGAATCAGAAACAGAGTGAAGGGTTTGGGGGAGTGAATATGGTCACAGTACTTGAGATACAGGAAAGAAACTATTTTTATGACATCATCACTATCTATAATGAATATAGACTAAGGAAAGAACTGGCTTGGAAGGACAACAGAAGGCAGAGGAAGTAAAATATTTTATTCCACTTTGAGGGAGAAGTTGATTTGTTTGAAGGAGTCTGGGACAACCCTGCCTTCGTCTGATAACGCCCTCTCTCTAAGCCTCTAAGCCATATGTGTTTAAGATGTCGAGGATCAGCTCAGGGGCTCAGCACACAGCTCTGTGGAGCAGTGGACTGTGCTTTCTGTTTTAAGTGGCCGCCTGGCAATGGTACGTCCTTGTCATAGTGCAGCCAAGTATGAGAGTGCATTGACAATGCTAGTCCTTCCCAGGCCTGAGACTCAAGCTCAAAGAATGTCTTCTCGGAGAAGGCCAAGTGGGGCAGTGCTTTGTAGAGGGCAGCATGCTCAACTGAAGACTTAATCTGGAAGTCAATTCGCTTCTGAGGAGGCACTACTTACGTGCATGTTTAAATATTTTGAGTCTATGGGGGCTGCTTCAAGAGGTGATTTCAAGTCTGTGAAAGGAACACAATAGGAACACTGACAGACTAGAACTACTGGCTTTCACAGGTGGGCACATACCTGCCAACCTCTGCTGGTCTGGCCTCAACCTCTGGATCCTGAATCATGGAAGCCCTCGAGGGTCCCTCAGCTGATTCCAGAGTCACCGAGAAGCAGGAGTCCACCATCAGTCAAGAAATAGTGTCGTGGTTGGACAGCTAGACAAACAACACCTGTGCTCCTGATATGGAACCTGGGCCTTATTGGACCACACAGGACAAAGGAAACAGGCAGGTGCTAGCACAGAGTCTGAGTTTGTTTATGTAGTTGGTGGGCAAAAGCCTGTCCTCAGACCTTGGAGCTGAAGAATAGGGTCTGGGGTTTATACTTCTCTAATACATGTTAGGTAACAAATGGATTGTAAAACCTCATCTCTCTTTTTGTCCTTTTTATTTTTAAAAAGCACCCTTTGATGTCACTCTGGTGACGTCTGCTGTCATCCCCAAACCTGCTACGACATGGGTGCCTCAGTCGTCAGCCTGATTCACAGTACACTCCATGTTTAGCAGCTCTCTGAGAAGGATTCCAGGCTGCTTTTAGCCCTAAATAGTTACAAATACCGGAGTAGCAGCAGCAGCCCTTCAAAAAGCCTTTTTAGGAAGTGTCATACCAGGGCTGGGATGAGCCACAGGGAGCCACAGGTAAGAAGAGCTCCAGGCAAATGGGAAGGCAGGGGAGGAATTGATGAAAGGCCCCAAGTTGTGTGCCGTGGAGCAGCCTCCCCCTTCCTTGAGAGAGTTGTACGGAAACATTTCAACATGTTTATCTGTCTGCCCAACCCTATTTAGTGAAAAATGATTGCTCTTTGCTTCTTGTTACCATGCTCAAATGATACTATGGCAACCGGGCTGCATAAAAGGGGAAGGGGGGGGGGGCAGGTGCTGCTTAGCAACTTGAAGATTTTTTTAAAAGGGAAGTACTCATTTTAACAGTAACAGTTTTTAAAATGCCAGTTTTGAGGAGTTAAAAAAAAAAAAGAATATTAGAGACAGCAAATGGGAATGACGGCAAAGGGACTGAATAAGGGAGGTGGTGGCGCTTCTTCCAGAGCTGTTAGGCACATCATCATGGCGGCTGTGGGAGCACAGCTGGGTCTGTTTATGGGTAAGGAAACAGGTTCACACAGGTGAGTGATGCCACCAGGGCTGGTGAGCCAGTGTGTGTGTGTTGTGGGGAGGGAGGGCAAGCCTGGGCTAACAGGTAGGCAGCCTGATTTCAAGTGGAATTCTTTTTATAGAATCTCATTAAGTAGCAAAATGTCACCTGGAAATCAGAGGGGAAAAGAAGAAATGAATCAGTGTAGACTGACAAGGAGGTGATAAAAGTTGACCATCTGTTCCTCAGGTAGAAACCCAGAAAGAGAAAAAAAATCTTTGAATGTACTTCCAGGGTAAAGTTCAAGTGCTCTCTACAGGATTCATTTGTTCATTCATGGGAGAGAAACAAGAGGGGACGATCAGAGCAGACAGGCTGGAGTCCAGTGTCTCACAGGCCGGAGGTGTCTGGTTTTGGAACACTTGGAATTTGGAGGAATTTCTGAGCAGTGAGAAAACCAGAAATGGGTGGGAAGTGGTTGAGTATGGGAAGGACCACTGCCATTCCCTGACATGGATGGAAACCGAGTAGGAAAACAGATTTGTCAAGATAGATGAGTCCATCCATTCAACCAAGACCACGTGAAGCGAAGACCGCTAAAGTCCCTCTCCCCTGCTCCTCACTGGCTACTGTCCTTTCCTGGCTGTTCTGCTGTTCCAGCCCTCTGTCTTCAGAAACAGAATGGTCTGTGATGCAAACACTGCCCATACCTGGAGTGATGGTGGTGTTGACCTTTACTGGGATGTTCAACAGCAAACAAGCATAACACTAAGAAAACACACTGTCAGATTGAAGAATGTTCTCTGAGGCACGCGACACAATGGGTTACTGTCTATTACACACTTTTCTAATTAACACCACTTAAGAGATGCCATTCAAGGCAGACCCTAGGTCTGAATCAGACTAGACTGAAGGATCAGAGTTTTTATCTACTTGAGACTCTGCAGGGGAGGCAGGGGAGGAGTGAGTGGGGGAGACAAGGCCAGCTGGCTGAGTTTGCAGCTCCTCAGTCATCCTGTCACTCTCCAATCCACAACACCACAGAGAGCCTGCTAGGTCCCAGCCACTGAGTGGCCATCTCATTCTTCTCTTCCTGGTGCCCCAGGCATAGGGAGGATCCCAAGGACTGCAGGGCTCAGGCTGCCTGGTCCTGGAGCCTGCATCCCAGGGGAGGCCACTGCTGCCTTCCTAGTTAATAACACGGTGCTCACAAGACAAGTGCTGCTTTAGAAGTCCAGTGATCACACACATGTGATCTTCTCATCGTTTCCACTCAATGCTAATTGTACCCGTGTGATGGGAAACAGTAAACAGCCAGCCTCCCTCAGTGCTCGACTTGACTCAAAGGGTCTCATAACAGCGGAGTCCACCCAGCACTCCCTTTCAAGAGCCGGTATTTGTGAGGTATGGGTGGAGGAGTCTCTGTTCTTCTTACTGCCAACATGATGAATAAGAAATGAGTGACTGTCTGGGTCCTCCTTTGAATTTTGCTCTCTCATCTGCTTGTCCGTTATCCCTATTCTCATCCTCATATCGTGCTCTAACCCCACTGGGTCCCTCAGGACCTTCAGATGCACTTCCCTTCTCCATTCACACTACCCTCGGATTGTGATGAGCACTTACTACCTCAGGTGCAAACCGCATCACTCTGGGCCTCTGCTGTTGTTCATAGCCATGAATACTGTTTGTAGTAGCTAAACATTTTACAGTGCGCACACACACACACACACACACACACACACGGTGGGGGGGGGGAGAGTCACTACCCAGTAGTTTTAATAACCACATTTGTGGTGGTATTGTGTTCCCCAAAATATTGTGCATGCTAATAAACTTATCTGGGGTCAGAGAAGAGAACAGCCACAATATTAAACATAGAGGATAGGCAATGGTAGCACACGCCTTTAACCCTAGCATTCCAGAGGCAGAAATCCCTCTGGATCTCTGTGTGTTCAAGGCCACATTGGAAACAGCCAGGCATGGTGACTCACGCCTTTAATCCCAGGGAGTGATGGCAGAAAGCAGAAAGGTATATAAGGCATGAGGACCAGGAACTAGAAGCTTTTAGCTGGTTAAACTTTCAGGCTTTGGAGCAGCAGTTCAGCTGAGATTCATTCTGGTTGGGGACTCAAAGGTTTCCAGTCTGAGGAAACAGGATCAGCTGAGGAACTGGTGAGATAGGCTTGTTCTGCTTCTCTGATCTTCCAGCATTCACCCCAATAACTGGCCCTGGGTTTGTTTTTATTAATAAGGCCCTTTAAGTTTCCTGCTACACACATTCCTATCTTTAAGTAATAAGAATCAGAGGCAAGAAGTATTTAGTTGCAACATTCCAGTTTGAATTTATCTGGTAACTAGTAAGAAGCCAGCTCATTTTGAGATATGATTCCAGCCCACAATTCCCTGCTCTTTAGAGGAAGTGGGGACTCTCCTCTCTGGAATCGTATACATTGAACTTATGCCTGCCCTTCAGAACAAGGTCAAACAAACACATTCACATTTTTTCACATATTGCCCTTCCAAATACTGGCAGGCAATCCTGGGTGCCCTCCCAGGCTGCTTCCTGCTGCAGGCCGCAGCAATATATCATAAGAACTCAGGTGGTTATGGCAAATCCACTACCTGGAGGGAGTTCCTCCAGAGGAAGCCAAATTTCAAGAAGCTTTTGGTGTTATTTGGCTTGTTATATATCAGCTGTATTCTGGTATGAAAATCATGTGTGCCTTCATAGTTTTCCCAGTTGATTTTTCCCTAAGAAGGGCTAACAGTGTAGACTGATCACTCTCTGGACACACACATTCCAGGTATTTGGAGAACTGCCTCAGGAAAGGCTTTCTCTGGAATCAGATATCTCCCTTAGCCACTTTCAAGGACTAGCAGTAATAACAGTCCACATGCAAGTCTCCTGATTTAAGGTAAATTCTACAAGGAGACACCGCCTAGGTCAGGTGGAAGGTAAATAATAGCTTTACACAATTTAGCTCGGACCCTCCTTTCTTACAGCCTTACTAACTTTATAGACCTTTAACTCCTTACCTAGCCACTTCTAGGAATATTTAGACAACTTTCTGTGCTGACAGCTATGCTCAGCCAGAACTCCAGTTCAAGCCTCCCTGTAATTATCATCATTGGCAGCATCTGGTCAGGTCCATCCCAAGATGGAGGAAAGTACTTTGCTGTGGGATGTTCTGTATGGCAAATGTGTTGCTAATTAGTCAATAAATAAAACACTGATTGGCCATTGGCTAGGCAGGAAGTGTAGGTGGGACAAGGAGGAGAATAAAGCTGGCAAGTGGAAGGCTGAGTCAGAGAGACACTGCCAGCTGCCATGATGAGAAACAGCATGTGAAGATGCCGGTAAGCCACAAGCCATGTGGCAAGGTATAGATTAATGGAAATGGATTAATTTAAGCTGTAAGAACAGTAAGAACAGTTAGCAAGAAGCCTGCCACGGCCATACAGTTTGTAACCAATATAAGTCTCTGTGTTTACTTGGTCGGGTCTGAGAGGCTGTGGGACTGGCAGGTGAGAGAGATTTGTCCTGACTGTGGGCCAGGCAGGAAAACTCTAGCTACAGTACCTTATCAGAGACACCTCTGTACTCTCTAAGAACAGACCTAAGCACCCAGGCTACCTGTTTGAGAAGGCCTGGCGGATATGCCAATTAAGTTTTACTTCCTCCTTTCCCAAACCTTACATCTGGTTCCAGATCTCCCTTCAACTATCACCAGAGGCATCTAGCTGTACACAGGTTGCCTAGTGACCGAGCACACTTTCCCCCACCCTGCAGAAAAACGGCAGATAGCTTGGACAGATAGGAGCCACAGGGGGAAAAAAAAAAGGCAGTTTTATTTTCTCCCATTGACCTAGCAACTTATAGATTCTTAACATTTTCTAACAATCACGTTTAAAATTATAGTTGAGCACATAAGAGCCCTCTTCTTAAATATTACCTGAATTTAGCCTTTAGTTAACTCATTCCCCCATTGGTCACTTCCCTTTGGGGTTGCAAATGATAATTAACGGTTATTGCCTCCCTATGTGATTCTTATCACCCCTCCATTTGACCCTGGAAGCCTGGCTTTGCACTGCTAAGGGAATACTGCCTGTAAGTGTATATATACCAGGACTTCCAGGGCACATAGGGGTCAGAGAAGAGAAAAGAGAATGGAAGAAATAGATGGGTAAGAACTTGAGAGGAACAAACTGAGATGGGGAAGAACTAGAATGAAGGACTAGAAGAGAGGACTAGAGGAACGAGATGGAAGATGAGGAAGAGACAGATGGGGAAGAACAAGATGAGAGAGAAGGAGATGGGAGAGGAGATGATATGGGAAAGAACTAGATGGATGAAAACCTAGAAGGGGCAGAACTGGATGAAGGAATTAAGATAGAACTTAGAGGGGACAACAGATAAATGTATAGAGAAACTGGGCAAGAAAGGAGCTTAAAATGAGAGCAGAGTATAAGCTTGTAGAGAGAACTGACAGAATAGTAAAGTGTATGGACTAAGGAATTTCGTGTACATAGATTCATTTCTTTTCTTCAAAGATTAATTATTACCTGGTTGTAGATTCTTCCCGGACCCTAGGAGGGGACTGTAAAAGGGCTGGACCCCCATAGTCCCCAATAGTTTCCCAAATTTTCAAGTACACAGAAACCGTCTGGAGAGTCCGTGGAACTGCAGGCTGTGGGTACAGCCATTCTGGGGTGCAGCCGTTCTGGGGTGAAGATCAAACACTCCGCACCTGTTCCTGGATCAGTCGCTCAAAGGAAAACTAAATTGTGTATTGTCTTTCAGATCAAGAAGTCTTCCCTTCAGTTTCCGAATCTCTAGTATTTATAAAAGTGCTGCAGCTACCACAGGCGTTTGCTAAATCGTGTCCAATGTGTCTGTACCAACGGGTGGAAAAAAACCAGTAACTTGAACTGTTTAAGGGGGCGGGATCAGGATCCGTCCCTGGTGCATGAGCCAGCTTTTTGGAGCCCAGTGCCTATGGTGGGACACCGTGCACAGCCTTGGTACTGAATGTACCAGGCTCTGCTGACTCTCCATGAGAGGCCTTGCCTTGGAGGAGGTGGGAATGGTGGCTGGGTTGGGGGAAGGCTGGGGGGTGGGAGGAAGAAGAAGAGGAGGATCTGTGGTTGGTATGTAAAATGAATAGAAAGTTTCTTAATAATAAAAAAAGAAAGAAAGAAAGAAACCACACACCCTTCTTGTTCACCCCAGCGTTAATCTCAGACCTGGTTTTGAAAGCCTTTACCTCTTTCAGTTACTGATGACACAGTCATCATCTGGACACTGGGCACAGTGACTAGAGGTCGATGCAGGGATGCGGCGGTGAAACGCAAGGCGTCCGGCACAGACGGACATGGGCCAGAGTGTAATTATTGTTCCTTTAGCCGCGAACAGAAGCAGGGCAAACAGTAAAAAACAAAGCGAGTACGCGTCAGTTGCCGAAACACTGTGTCCCAGCTTAAACGAGACAGGGAAAAATGCTTCCACAGACAAGAACACGATGCTCAAGGCCTGCTTAGCTTTCCCCGGAGGGGCTGTCATGCTGCAGGCTCACGGGCAGGCGGCGGCGGCGGCGGCGGCGGCGGCGGGCTCTGCTGCCCCCTGCTGGACGGAACGCCGGGCTCGCGCCAGCCTGTCTACCAGGCTAGGGCTCTCCGGGGACCTCCGCGCTCCTCCAGCCGGTTACACAACACCGGGCTGCAATCAGCATGCTTCGGGAGGGGAAATCATCCATTTCACGGAGCTCCCACCGAACCAGTGTGAAGGGGAAGGCGAAGACTAGAAAATAGTTCAACACTGGAGGCTCTGGTGACTGCTTCCAGTCGACGCAGAACCCTAAAACCAGGAGAATCCTTCTTTGGGTTCAAGGACGCAAGGCTCAGAGTGGCGTGTGTGGAAAGGGGAGTGGGATAACCCAGGGGCTGTGGTGTAGAAATGGGCTGCTGGATACTCTTTCCTGTGGCATCCTACCTCCTCAAGGTGCTGCTGGCATGGTGAATGGCTATACCTCGCCTCCAAAGTGCAGCCCCAAGCTTCCAGCTGCTTCAAGGTTGTAGGTCTTCGAGCTGTGCATTCGGATCTGACCTTTAAGGTTTTAAACTCTGACTATTCAGAGACATATCGCGATGGAGCACAGCAATCCCCTCCTTTTAGGGTCCAGAAACTATACACGTTTTGATATCTCCAGGGTGAGTTCAGATCAATAAACAAGCTGGGACCATTTACTGTCAGCTTTAGAGAAATTTTCCTTCAGTCTGGACCAATCCTTTGGAGTTTGACTTTGGCTGCCTTCTGATGTGATGTTGGAGAGTTCACTCTTGTCCAATTCGGATGTTGATTAATGGTATTCTCCAGCCCATAAAATACTTTAGGGATTTTTCTCTCACATGGAATTATGAAGCATCCCTGCCTCTGGCAGTTTAACTGGAACTTTCAAAATTAAAAAGGGCATGAAGTGAAAGTCACCTTAGAGATTCTCAGTCACCATTCTCTTATTTTATAGAAGATGGTCTGGGCTTCTTGACCAAATAACAGATCTCTGGAGACCACGAGATGATCATGTGTCTTTTCCCAGTCTTTGGATGGTACCTTTCATATACCGGCCAGGAGCTGCGGGGAAAGCTGAGTCAGCACTCAGCTGTTGCAGCACCAGAAAGTTTGAGCCTGGTTATCTTCACCGGCTACTGCCAAGCGTATATTCGCACCTCTTCCAGAACTCATCTCCGTGTGCACACAGCACCCAGAGACTCTGCTCTTGATGTACATGATACCCAACACGAGTCAAGAAAGCCCAAAGATGTCCACCCTAAACTGGTGATAAATGTCATCAGAACTCCTTGGTCATTCAGAGCATATCATCCGAGACTGTCTCTGGCAGTTTCTAGGTGTACAGCCCGTGCCAGTCATAATTGAATGGAAGTATGATAAGCCATGATGGGCCACTGCCAGTGTGTGGTGCCGTTAGGATAAGAACTCATGGGATTTCAGGGAAGGACCGTGGGGAGGGGGCACTGAATGTCTTAGATACTGTCATCTCAGTCTGGAGAAAACAACAGAAGTGCCCACCCAACCCACATCCTCACTTTTCTGGTCTCATCGACTGTTTTCTTTATGATTATGGTTTCAGTGGAAAATATTCTAAACAAGTCCATGTGTTTGAACATTTCTTGGTTCTCAGTTGGTGATGCCTTGGGGGATGTATTATGAAACTGTGGCTGGCTGGAGAAAAAGGGTCACTTGGAGGCAGGTCTTTGGGGTTGTAGCTCAGCTCTACTTCTGGCCCCAGTCTCTCTCTGCTTCAGCTGTGAGCAGGATGTGAGCAATCAGTCCCATGCTTCTGCTGTCACGGACTCACCTTCATGATGGCCAATGCTCTCAAACCAGGAGCTAAAAGTCCTTCCTCCTTCAGTGTGTTCCTTGTAGGGATTCGGTTGCAGCAATGACAAAAAAGTTATTAATCTACATTGTTAGTATGAAACGAATAGTTTCTATTTTATTTCATGCCCTGTAAGGCAATGGAGAAAGTCCCCCCTGAACTAGTGACAAAATGCCATCAGACCTCCTTAGTTAGATGCAGCTGAGATACATTCAGCAAGCACATCTCGTGGAGTTTCCAGTTTGTACCTAAAGTGAATTGAGTTCACCATGAATGAACTATTGAAAAGTGGTGCTCAGAGTCAGCAATTGATTCATGGGCAAAAAAAAAAAAAAAAAAAAAAAAAAATACTCGCCACACATGTGTAACCTTGGTGACTTGACCTATCCTGAACCCATGTAAAAAGCCAGATGGTGCATGTCCTTGGGTGACAACCATCAGATAAACGTCTGTTACAACTCACAATAAGCCCTTTCAACATCTCTGCCGTTATATTAAAGAGCTGCTTGGTGCAGCCCTCCCCAACCCCCACCCCCCTTCACCCCCCCCACCCCCCCACCCCTCCCCTCACCCCCCTACCCCCCCTCACCCCCCACCCCCCGCCACACACACACAGAGCTTTAGGATGGGGTTTGGCAGCAGGAAGAACCAACATTGGGTTTGGAGGGTTGTGACTTGCAGTCTTTTCTCCTGGGAGAGGGACAGAGTCGGACCGAGTCAAGCACCAATGGCCATTGATTTAGCAAGTTGACCCATGCAATAAAAGGAGGGCTGCTTGCCTGGAGAGGTTGTCGGAGCTCCGTGCTCCGTTCCCAGCTGTGTGTCCCTTTAACTTGCTTGTTCCTGAGTTGTGTCTTTTGATAGTGACCTGGTAAGTCTAAAGAAAGCATGTCTCTTGGCTTTTTATTTGTTTATGTTTTTATTTAGTTGGTCTGTGTGTGTGTGTGTGTGTGTGTGTGTATGTGTGTGTGTGTGTGTGTGTGTGTGTGTGTGTGTGTGTGTGTGTGTGTGTATGGATGCTATTCAAATAAATTGCGGAGCATGAGGCAGAGCTAAAGAACTCTGACTCTAACTTTACAACTTCTTGGTCACTATACAGGTGGCCTGGACTTGCATTTGGTGTCTGAAGTGGGCCAGGCAGTCTTGTGGGGCTGAGCCCTTCACTTCTGGGTTTTCTGTTGACTCCATGCAGTTAGTGTTAGAATTGAACTGAATCGTAGGACACCCAGATGGTATCTGGAGAGTAGTTGATTGGTGTGAAGAAAAAACCCACACATTTGGTGTCAGAAATGTTGTAAGTGAAAACATTTTGGAGGTGGGAACTCAAATCTCTATTCTGTGACATTCCAGCCCCGAAGAGCTAGGCCATCACCCAGAGGGTCAGCCTGCTTTGTTTTGGAGTAGGTGAGTGAGACCCAGCTCTTCCATTGTAGCTGCTGGTTTAGCTGGATTCTCATTACAGATGATGCCCTCAGTTGTTGGCAGCGTGAGACTTTGTGAATAAACACGAGGCAGCTGGTAGTTTGACTTCAGCTGCTTTTGTCCCCAGCTGAACCACACAGCTGGGGGCTCTGCCTCCTGCTCTGACTTGGGCTAGAAGACATAGGTGAGAATTGCTTCTGTTGTGCATGCTAGAAACAAACCTCAGGGACTGTGGAGTTTAGAGTGTTGCTGAGCCAATAGATCACAACTTCTCTTGGATTATCTTTAGCTCCCAGAGTCATCCCTTGCCTACCTCTGTACCAGACCTAATATTCTAATGAGCAAACAAAAATCTCTGGAATGTCTTAACTTGACACAATCTTATTTTCCGCTGTAGATCTCATCCATTTCTCTGTCGTTGGGTGATCCCTGTGTCTTACTTAGTGTCCTGTTTTCTAGGTAGCCTTCCTGGAGTTGTGAGTAGCAGTCTAGTCATCCTTTGTTTTACAACTAGTATCCACCTATGAGTGAGTATATACCATGTTTGTCTTTCTGAGTCTGGGTTACCTCACTCAGGATGATTTTTTTCTAGATCCATCCATTTGCCTGCAAACCTCATGATGCCATTGTTTTTCTCTGCTGAGTAGTACTCCATTGTGTATATGTACCACATTTTATTTATCCATTCTTTAGTTGAAGGGCATCTAGGTTGTTTCCAGGATCTGGCTATTACAAATAATGCTGCTATGAACATAGCTGAGCATGTGCCCTTGTGGTATGATTGAGCATTCCTTGGGAATATGCCCAAGAGTGGTATAGCTGGGTCTTGGGGGAGATTGATTCCCAATTTTCTAAGAAAGCACCATATTGATTTCCAAAGTGGCTGTACAAGCTTGCATTCCCACCAACAGTGGAGGAGAGTTCCCCTTGCTCCACATCCTCTCCAGCATAAGCTGTCTTCAGTGTTTTTGATCTTAGCCATTCTGACGGGTATAAGGTGGTATCTCAGAGTCATTTTGATTTGCATTTCCCTGATGATTAGGGATGTTGAGCAATTCCTTAAATGTCTTTCAGCCATTTGAGCTTCCTCTGTTGAGAATTCTCTGTTTAGCTCTATAGCTCATTTCTTAATTGGACTGTTGGGCATTTTGATGTCTAATTTCTTGAATTTTTTGTGTATTCTGAATATCAGCCCTGTGTCAGATGTGGGGTTGGTGAAGATCTTTTGGGAGC